ATGAAGATGGAGCGGCGGCGCTGTGGCTGCCCCGTTGAACATGGAGGATACAGAGGCCATCCTCTGAAAGAGATTTTGGCTGTAGAGAGAAGAATGAGGATAGGAGAGAGAAAGGAGGCCATGGCTGAGGAATCGGATGGGAATTAAGAGAAGATTGAAGTTATGCAGATGCCATGGTAATGTAGCTTGTGTGGATGAAAAACAAGATAAAACTCATGACTCATCCATCTGCTTTCGCTGTTCTTTGTTAATACAGAACTTGAGAGCTGATAGCACCCAAAAAATAATAAAAAGAAAAACTTTTAATTATATACAAATGTAGTTTGGTATCAGTTGAATTATACTCCCTTCGCTATGTAAATCTATTTTTAGATCATAATAATTTAATCGTTGACAGTTAAAAATTATATTGATTTTTACACAGAGAAATTTAATTCTAGTATGAATTTAACTATTTTTTTTCCTCGACGATAGTGACGTGCCAACATAATTGCAACATAATTAAATGTTATATATTACGTACGACTCCCGCGAAAATATATCTTCTACCATATGTACTATATTTTTATTAAATAATTTATATAAAAAGTGAAACAATAAAGGCTATAATAATACTTTTATGTGAACATTAAGCACTGGAATGTAATATTTTTAAACAAACTTAGAGCATGGTTGGTTGAAAATTTTAATTACCATCTCATATATATATATTATTAAAACCATCTTATATTGTTGAACTGAAAAAATATATAAATATTTTAAAGTTTAGCAAATATAAACATACATTTGAATAAAATACAATAAGATTTGAATACTATTTTGGATTTATCTTAGTTGTATATGTTCGACGAGAAATTCAAATAAAAAATAGCTCAACTTGAGTTGTATTTATGTATGTTGATATTACAATTTCTAATGTATAATTCTCTGATTAATTTTCTCAAATGTAAACTTTAATTTAAGGGCTTATGAGCTTGTTCCTGAATCAATAGTTGGTATCTTCAGTTTCTTGTTTGTCGAATAATCTTTAAAGTCTTCGACTTTGAGCTTGTTGAAGACTTTGATAGCTTGTTGACGAAGAATTATTTGGCATGTAGCTTGATGAAGATTTTGTGAAGTATTCAGCTTTGAGCTTATTGAATAATCTTTGAAGTCTCTGGCTTTGCGCTCGTGAAGTTTTTCGACTTTGCAGCTTGTGAAGTGTTTCGGCTTTGTAGCTTGTTGAAGTTCTTCGGCTTTGCAGCTTGTGAAGTGCTTTACTTTTGTAACTTGTTGAAGTTCTTCGACTTTGCAACTTGTGAAGTGCTTCGGCTTTGCAATGTGTTGAAGCTCTTCGACTTTGCAGCTTGTGAAGTTATTCAGCTTTGCAGCTTGTTGAAGTTCTTCAGCTAATTTGATGAAGATTTTGCAGTTTGATGGAGTCTTCAAGTAATGTTGCTTGGGGGGAGAAGATTCAATGTTCTTAAAGTCGTACTCTTGAAGTCTCGAATTCTTTAAGTTGTCGACTTTGGATGTTTTTCTTGACTCTGAATAATTATAGACGATTCCGAGTGCTCTAAATCTCCAAATTTTATAGATCTCTTTCCCCTCCTCCAAGGGTCTTTATATGAGTCATGAGCTTGGTGGGCCATAAGCTTGGGCCTATTCTCCTAATGAATTTTAATTTAATTAGTTGATTTCATCAAACGGCATACAGATACGTGGCATAATTTGATTTTACTTTTAAAACGTCTATTTTTGGTCATTACATTTTCAATTTTTGTTCATTTTAGTAAATGTAAAATCAAAACATTCATTTTAGTCCATATAATTTTAAATAATGACCAATTGAGTTTGCAAACAAATTTATGACAATATTTTAAAATTTTAATAAGTAGAGTAACATATAAAATGAAGGGACCAAAATGATTTAAAAGTATAAATATTAAATTCAACGTTTTAAATTTAAAGTATAGACATCAAAACAAACGAATCGTTTGGTAACATTCTCGTTTCTTGTTTATCGTTTCCAAATTTCTTAAAGAAATATAAGTGTTTTACCACTAATTTGTTTCTTATTTTTCATTTTTTTGAAAATATTCTCACAATTGTATATAAATTTGAATTTTGGGAACAATCCAAATAAATTTCTTTTTCTTGTTTCTATTTTCAGTTTGTTCCAAGACATAAATAAAAAAAATATTTTATTATACTTGAATTATTTGAGGTTGAAATAATCTTATTCATTTTTCTTCGTTAAAAATAAAACAGAAATACCAAAAGAGCCCAAGAAACAAAATAAATCTTTTAAAAGTTTTTTCTCATAGCAACATGGTTTGAAAATAGGGGACTAAAGTAAATGAAAAATAAAATTAATATTTAAACGAAAATTTAGGGTGGTTTTTGAAAAAAAATAAATAAATAAAAGCTCACCTCGACCTCCCTGTCCGGGGGCAAGGGGTTAAAATGGCGCGGCAAAAGTTTTCTCCGTTGAATGGATTGTTATAAATTATGTGCACGATTTAGGGTTTCGGATTTCCAGTTTATTTATGGAACATGCATGAGTAATTCCTGCTGGATTGATTGAATCATCCTTAGAAATTACCCAGAGATTTGGATTGAAGGCACTTCTGTTAATCAGAATACAGAGAAGAAGAATTGAAGAAGAAGAAAAATGTTGGCGGCGTGTAGGTGCATCGGAGCGACCGAGCTTATTCAAGTTAATGGCAGAAATTTCACCTCTCCCAAAAGCGGAGCCGCATTCTTGCTCTATTGCAATCGCAATTACAATAATCTTCCAACCGGCGCAGTTGGAAGTATCTCCGATCGACATCTGAGCTTAGGCAGCAACTTCAGCAGGACCCATGATGATCGTATTTTACCCATTTCAGGCCGTGATTCTCGCAGTTTTAGTACCTGTAGATCGAATTCGAATCCGTTGAACCGTGTTCATGCTTTCTTGTCTGATCCTTCTCCTTCACCCTCGACGAGAGGGCTTTCACCCGTTAGTTACTTAGAATCATTATATATTTTGTTCTTCAACTGTAATATCTCTTGAAGATGATTGTTAATTTCTCCTCCATTCCCATAGTTATTAGTAATTCAACGCAGGGTTCAATGTTAAATTGGCGACTAGTGTTCTCAACGTCTTCAGGAAATGGCAGTGGTGCAGCATCTCCCAACAGCAGAAGTACTAAGCCTACTAGTAAAGGGTCAGAGTCCCAAGTTGCTGACATGAAGATTCTTCGTACTCTTGCTAGTTACTTGTGGATGAAGGACAATTCCGAGTTCCATCTCAGGGTTATTATGGCTTTGGGTTTTTTGGTCGGGGCTAAGGTCCGATTATTTACAATCATGCTCAGTCGATCACCGTTTCTTTGCCCTTGTTTTGCATTTCATTCCCGCTCTTTCTCCTTGTAGATTTTGAACGTTCAGGTACCATTTCTCTTCAAGTTAGCTGTTGACTGGTTGACCACTGCTTCCGGGAATGCAGCTGCTCTTGCTTCTTTCACTGCCGCTAATTCCACCATGTTAACTCTTTTTGCGACACCAGCTGCGGTTTTAGCTGGTTATGGAATTGCCCGGTCCGGGGCTTCTGCTTTCAACGGTACTAGGCATGAAGTAATTGCTGATACTTGTTCTACGTTTTCCGTAGCTTAAAAATATGCTATTTTTATACTACGTTTTGTTAATTCCCGTCCGCTGTTGTAATGTGATGCATCTCATGTCATGATAGAGCTGCGGACTGCTGTTTTCTCCAAGGTAGCACTACGAACGATTCGATCTGTATCACGCAAGGTATGTCCAGAAAAGTATTGTTATTGCAGCAAGCCAAATTGTAATGATGAATTTTTTTTTTTTGGTATTTTGAGTTTTGTTATTATTTTTCAATAATATATGGGGAAAAATATTTGGATTTTGAATCCTAATTCTACCACGATGCTTATGCTTGATTGACTTTTTTAACTTTTCAGGTTTTTTCACACTTGCATGACCTTGACCTCCAGTATCATCTTAGGTAATCCTTCTCATACACTTGTGTAAATATATATAATATATTTATTTTTTTACATTTTTATCTTTAGTTAATGGTGAGACACTCTGGTAATTTGATATAGGAGTTAGGACCACCCAACACGTTCTCTTCTAGCCAATTGGTCCTAGTTAGATTGCCAGAAACGCCTTGCATTTCCGTGTCTTTTTAAGTTAAGAGTCAACAAGTAGAGTAACTTGTTACGGAAAAAGGGATTGAGGAGATACATGGATGTTTGGCCTCAAGTACAATTACAAACTATTATGTGCTTCTCTTTTCTACTTTGTTCTCTGATTTTATGCTGGAGATTTGATTTCTCTCTAGTGATATTCCATATAGAGTGAATGTTTAGGCATGATGCTTATAAAGGATTCTCATGCAATTTGTGGTATAAGGTCTTAGATGTGTTTGGTTACCACCTGATTTTTCATACCATTTCCTACTACATTATGGCTCTTGCTTTTCACTTTGGTGACTCATCCTTTCAAGTACAAGGCTAAAATTCTTTCGAGTTTCGACTAATATTATATTGGTCTCAGTTTGATAATTGTAGTTAAGAAATTGGAGACATGTTTGGAGTTATTTTGGGATGTAATTATACTTGATGCCTCTAACTAGAGTCTTCTATCGAAAGATTTTTAATTATTTTCTTGCTTTTTGATCAAATGTAGAGCCTTTGTATAGTCTTTTTTGTTTTTGGTGGATGCATTGCCCCCTTTTTTTGTACCTATCTTCTGTTAATGTAGGTTTGTGAAAGTTTCTGTTTCTTTTTTAAAAATTAGAAAGAACGATTCTCCTGATGAGAGAAGAGGTTTATGGGTCAAGTTTCTAATCCGAGCTGAAGTCAGTTATATGAGATGCTTTTCTGATGTATTGAAGATTCCGACTGAAAGGAAGGCCCATTGGCCTGATTTCCAGTCACAATATCTCAGGTCTAAATCTAATAGTCTGCAAATATGAGAGAGAATTACCTTACCGTTGTTTGAGTGATGTTGATCAGGATGGTGTTGCTTCCAGTGAATGTGAGGTGCTAGTAGTAATGTCACCTTTTCATCTCCGTTTTCATTCATACTGTACTGACATCTTTCTTGTATGATTTATGCTTAAATCATGATGTCAGCCAGTTTTAGTTTCTCTTCCCTTCTTGAGCTGTAACTTCCATAATGATCTCTTCTGTTGTTCACTTTATTTGTAGCCGTGAGACAGGTGCCTTAAGTAGAACTATTGATCGTGGTAGTCGTGCTATAAATTTTATTCTTTCAGCCATGGTTTTCAATGTTGTACCCACCATCTTAGAGGTATGTTTTATAGCTTTCTGTTTCATGGATCCACGCCCTTTGAGACTAACTTAACTTGAATGTTTTGAATGTTGTACGTTTACTAATGTCATTATTTCTGTCTGTCTGTCTTTCCCCTTGATTGACATAAAGTTTCATAGGGATTATTGGTTAGGTTCTATTATTTTGGATTGGAAGCCCTTCCCTTAGTTAGGGCTCCTCCTCCTAGGCTTTTGTTTTTGTATTCCCTTTGTATATGCTTCTATTTTCATTCGTCTAAATGAAAAGTTCGGTTTCTTATAAAAAAAAAGACATAAAGTTTCATAGGGATGGGAAATTGGAATTCCCTGTTTTATGTTTCTAACTTAACTTCTATTCTTCTATTCTTCCAGATATCCATGGTATCAGGTATTCTGGCCTATAAATTTGGAGCTCCATTTGCATTGATCACTTCACTATCAGTGACAGCATATGTCATTTTTACATTGACCGTAACTCAGGTTCCTTACTCCCACCAATTCTACATCTATATAATACTGTATTTGCTGGAGATATGCTCTTGAGTTTATGTTTACTTTTCCTGTTTATTGATCTCTTAACTTTTTAAATTTTCTTTATCAATTAAGTTTATGTTCTTTTGCCACTAAATAGTTTAATGGGGTTTTGATGCCTGGATATATTGCTTTTTGAGTGTACTTATTCTCATGTTTCTTGTTTATTTCAGTGGAGAACTAAGTTTAGGAAGGCCATGAATAAGGCTGACAATGATGCAAACACCAGGGCAATTGATTCACTTATTAATTATGAGGTGTGACCACAATGTGCCTAAAATAGTTGCTTTCTGCTTGGCTTCATAAATTCAGTATCCATTGTCCTGCTGCTCATTTCTTTTTATGTTCTTCATGTTCATTAAATGTACTTTTGCAGACAGTCAAATACTTCAATAATGAAGCCTATGAAGCCAACAAATACGATGAGTATCTCAAGAGTAAGTTTTACTCAGTAGACTTCTATTGTAGCTTGTTCTTGTTCGTCACAAATGGTTTTCTGAAGAATGAGAACGTAATCGCAAAAAATGTGGTTTATCTTTAATAGTGTCTAATATGTCTTTATGTTCTCTGAGGTAAATTTGGTTGGTTTGTGGGGCTGGTTCCCTCAGTCCCAACCCATCTGACAGTTGCTGAATGTCTGAATAATATTTCTAAAGTGAGGTCATGCGACACTTCAAACTTTTTCTGACAGCACCATGTGATATTTATTTGTGCACTTCCGTGTTTACACTGTATTCATTATATATAGAAAAATGAAGTTTTAGTTTGTACTATGTAAAACTTTCTATTCTTCTGATCCCCTGCTTGAGGTCTGTGTTTAACACTGTTAAGAGGCAAAGACACCAGTGTACGTGTTACAGCAGAATGACTTATCCTATGGACACCTTGAAAATATAAAGATTAACATAGTTCAAGTAGTATTAGGGAAGTTAATGGAATGCCTCTGTCAAAAACAAAATACACTGAGATTTTTTTTAGTAAAAATGAAAAACGTACTTGATCCAATTCAAACATCCCAAGTACAGAAAGGGAGGGAAAGATAAGACATCAACTCTAACGTAGGTCAAGGAAGCTTACAAATTTTTTTTCCCCAATCGACACTGAATGCTAATGCTGTTTGTGATTCTTATTCTTAGAGTATGAGGATGCTGCTCTGAAAACACAGCGGAGTCTGGCCTCCTTGAACTTTGGCCAAAATGTAATATTTAGCACAGCTCTGTCAACTGCTATGGTGCTGTGTTCACATGGAGTGATGAGTGGGAATATGACAGTTGGGGATCTGGTATTATTTAAAGTCTAATGATCTGCTAATTTAAGTTACTGCAACGGATTATAGTTACCCGTGGAATTATGATTTTCTTTTACAGGTTATGGTGAATGGACTACTTTTCCAGTTATCTCTTCCTCTTAATTTCCTTGGTAGTGTTTATCGGGAGACCATTCAGAGCCTTGTTGATATGAAATCGATGTTTCAATTGCTGGAGGTACTTTACATCAAACAAGAATCACCTTTGATGTCTAATTTGGATGTCTAAAGTTGTCTATGTGCTTTTTCTATGTGAAAATAACATCTAGTTGTTTATTGTTTGCTTTAGGAAAGAGCTGATATCAGAGACAAGGACAATACGAAGCCTTTAAAGTTGGATGGGGGTAGCATTGAGTTCGATAATGTACATTTCAGGTGTTGAAGCAATCAAGTTTTCAGATCGTTTAATTTAGGCCAATATTACTTCCTTCTGCAATTCCACCTGTCTTTTATGAAAAGTAACCCCCACTGAAATTACCTCGATTTTGAATGATTTCTTCTGTTTTTTATTTATTTATTATTTTTTAAATTTTTTGATAAGAAACATCTCTGATCTAATTGTGCAATTTATGTGTGCAAATATTTACGTTTCCACGTTTCTTGTTTGACTTTATTGTAGTCAATGAAGATTTAATTTTTCTTTTTCTTTCTACAATGATCAATGTCATAGAGTGGACATTAGATTCACGCGTTAATTTTTTTTTTTGATTCACACCCTTCCACTTTGATAGTTCGTCTCATCTAGACTGTAATTTGATGTTGACAATCTGTTTTCTATTCAAGTTTTGACTAGATGAAGTTTTAGTTTTTCTTTTTATTTTTATGATCATTATTGTTGTAGGGTGGCACATTAGATCCATATGCTTGTTATTTTAGTTCACACTCTTGCGCTCCCATAGTTCTTTTTGGGTCTCACTTAGATTGTAATTGTATGCTGTCAATCTGATTTCTGTACAAGTCATATGTAAATAATGGAATAGAATCATCTCTTATGTTAATTTTGTCAATTTTTTCAAGAGATTATTTTTTCCTTTTAATTTATTCAAGAAAGTATTGCCTTCAGTTACCTGGCAGAAAGAAAGATTCTTGACGGGGTATCTTTCGTTGTACCTGCTGGAAAGAGTGTAGCTATTGTTGGTACCAGTGGCAGTGGTAAAGTATACAATATTTCGGTTTTTTTCCTTCACTTGCTATTTGATTATTGTTTAAGGACATTTCTTTATGGCATTTCCTTGTTTATACGTTGCAGCTTATGAATTCCCTCTTTTTCATGTACCTTCATTGTTCTCTCTCGATTTCCCCCTGATTATGCCAATTCCATCTTTGAACATATTCTGATGTTAGTGGTTGCGAATTGCAATTCTTAATTCTTGAGGACCAAGACTTTTGGTTTCATTTGATCAATTACTGCGCTAGCTGCTAGGCATGCTCTGGAATGGTCAGGTGTACATTATGATGCACCGAAGCAAGCATGATCAATGACCAGTTATGAAGGAATTCCACTGCAATTTAGATTATTTTTTATTTTTATTTTAAAGATTCCACTGCAATGGTTGATAAATCGAATTGCAGTCTCACTCCCCCTCCAATTTTCTCGGGGCCCACAACGAGGCCTTGTTGCACAATTTCTTTACATCCCCTGGAAAAGAGGAAGTGTTGAATGGTTTTATCCACTCTGAGGCCCATCCTCCCCTCGTTGGTTGACTGGACATCCTCATTATCCCCAGAATGACCAGGATATCATATATATAGATAGACAGATAGAAATCTTAGGAATTTCATGTCTTTAACATTGGGGACTGGTTTCTGTAATAACGATTAGTAGTTTAATTCCCTTTAAAGATACTACATTATGCATTCAACTTTTAAAAGATAGGCTCCAATTCTCTTAAAGCCTGTTTATATAAAGAATTTTCCATAGGATCTCAATAGCCAAATTTAAATCTGATATAAACTTTCTTTTTACTGAATGCTTGCAGTGTCATTGATGTAGTTAAATTGGTATCTCCATACAGGCAAGTCAACTATTCTTCGCTTGCTCTTCAGGTTCTTTGACATCCATTCAGGAAGTGTAAGAGTGCTTATCATCCTATGTTTAAGCTTTTGTAATGGCATTAGGTTTGTTTTGTAACTCAAGAGTTTGATAAACATTCTTGGATAACACCATGTAAATGGTCATGCAGTGCTACTGAGTTAATAATATAATATAAAATTTGTTTTATTTTATATTTAGATTATGCTGAAATACGAACTATTCGGTCCATGCATTGACTCATTACACAAAATTATTTTGTTCTTGCTTAATTTAGTAACCCATCCTGTGCTTCATATTGTTTGTGCATATTGGAAGGAAAGCCTTCCAAGTTAGAGAAACGGATAGTGCTTATATGTAATGCTACTAGAAGTGATTGATGATTCGTGAAGAAACATTGTTATCATTCCTCATGAGATAACAAATGTGCAGGGAAAGAGTTACATGTTTTGAACAAGAGTTTATAATAAAGATGAAATATTTTCTTCTGTAGCATCTAAAAAAATAAAAGTGAAATATTTGGTTTGGAGAATTGTCGATTCTTGATTTACCTCTAATGGCATCCACGGGTTAGGTTTGGACCAAATATTGGGGATTGATTTGGTTTGACTTTTTACCAGTTCGATTTTGTTGACAACTTGTCCACTTCCTTGTTATCGAGGTTCATTCTAACACTTAGAAGTTGGAAAAACTAAACACCATTCGGGTTCATATATATACACACATATATGTGAAACCAAAATCGGGGCATTTGTATGCATCTTCTAAAAACCGTTTAAAATTAATTTTTATAGGACTTGATGAACTCTTATTGAGCTGAAGTATATAAAAAAAGCAAAGGGAAAATGTCTGACAGCTTCCCCACCTCTCCTAAGCCAACTCTATTGGTTTGTGTCGCTTTCTCAACCCTATCCCTATCCAACATTCCCTCCCTTTCATATCACCCCCTTTCCCTTACTCTATATCTAAGTTGGACTGCCTTTTATTGTATGCCCATGCCAACAGGGCATCTTCCATCTGCCTAGCTATCTAAATGCTGAAAGCCTTACACTAACTCGAGCCTCCAGACTTCCTAGAATCCTAATATATGAGAACTAAACATGGGGTCCATTATTACTACAATCCTGAGAAGCCCCCTTGTCCTCAAGGTGGGAATGGAAAATTTATTAATATATAAGTTGCATCGTCTCGAGTTACTTCAGTGGCTTAGAGCCCCTCCCAATGAAAGAGAATCTCTATTTTCTTTTGCCCGTCTCCAACATAATGAACCCCAGCAATGGGGATTCATGTTCTGCCATTCGTTGTGTTTTGATAAATTGCAGTTTGTATTTTTGGATTATGGTAGTTTCAGCTTGTAATTGGCATTAATCTCCTATAGAAACGTGTATTTTCAGATTAAAATTGATGGTCAAGATGTACGGGAGGTGACACTAGATAGCTTACGGAAATTTGTTGGCGTTGTGCCACAAGATCTGGTAAATTGAAGAACTGTCATACTAATTTTTCAAAGATTAATTTTGCTGTACAACTTATAAGGCTTGCATGTTCTGTGGAAAACAGGTCCTGTTCAATGATACAATTTTCCATAATATTCATTATGGTCGTCTTTCAGCTACGAAGGAGGAGGTATATCTTGAAGTAGTATGGCATTTTTCGTATTCTCATCTACAAGGCGCTTCTCTTATAGCATTTTCACTCAGGTTTACGATGCAGCTCAACGTGCTGCAATACATGATACTATCATGAACTTTCCTCAACAATATTCTACAGTTGTTGGCGAAAGGGGGCTTAAGGTGAGATGTTATTGCTATTGACAGAAACAAAATGTGGTATTATTTTGTATTGGTGGGTAGTGGGTATGTGTACCCTTCAGTGTGGGAAGGACACTGAATTTTTAAATTTTTATCGGAGTTTTCTCATGCCAGCTTTAAAGTTGCAATTGAACTGAAGTATATGGTTGCATGCTTTAGTACGCTAACCAAAAAATCCTGGCGAAATTTTGCCTCAAGCTTAGGATGCTTCATCTACAACATTTTGACCAGTTCAAGAGTTTCTCCTTTTGATTAATGCCTTTTTCATAATTCCTGATTTTTCAATTGTTTGTGATGTCGCTGCAGTTGAGTGGTGGTGAGAAACAACGTGTGGCTTTAGCTCGAGCATTCTTGAAAGCACCTTCCATTCTGTAAGTATCCAGTTTGTGGAGTCTATATAGTTTCCTATTTGTGTCAATATGCAATTATTCTCAATGGAATTATTTCTCCCTCCATTACATGGTTTCATATACTGTCTTTGGGAAACTAAAGTTTATTTAGATAAAATAGTTGCATGTACTGTTTATGCTGCATTTTCCGTCAGTATCTTTGGATGCGGTGAAAGCATGTTGCTCCTCTTTTATTTTTTATTTTTTATTATAGAAAACAAATATTTCATTGATGGTATGAAATATTAAAAAAAAAAAGGTAAAGAATCCTAAAAGCCTGGGAGCTATAGAAAGGCTCTCCGGTTCAACAAAAGATCATTGAGAATATAATTTGTAAAAGGAGAGTAAAAACATTTACACCAACCAAGAGCCTCTACAAAAACTGAGGTGAAAGCATGTTCAATCAATTGTTCTGTTTTAGTTATATTTTTATTACAAAATGATTTTGTAAGACGTTGCTTATATTTAATTTGTCGCCTTTTCTTTATATTTATGACATGGAATGTCACTTTCTATCTCAGGCTATGTGATGAGGCTACAAGTGCATTAGATAGCACAACGGAGGCAGAAATTTTGACTGCATTGAAGTCACTTGCGAATAATCGAACCTCGATCTTCATTGCTCATAGGCTTACTACTGCCATGCAGTGTGATGAGGTTAGTAGCTGCATTTAATGAAAAATTTACCCTCTAAAGGTTTTATGGATTTATAGAAACTGTGAAACATATTCTTCCCAAGCCAGGTTTTGAGTTCTGCTGATATAGACGACTTGCCAAATTTAATGAATATGCATTATTTGTTACGGTTAAATTACCAATATTGAACCCAAAAGTTTAAGCGGATGAGTTATGGTAAATTTAATCTTTTATAGACACCTCAACACTCTCCCACACTAGTTGACTTAAATAGGGAGGGAATGACACTGCATCAGTTCGAAGTCAAAAACTTAAGCTAATAGATACCTTAACCGTTTCTAATCTGTTATTAGTCAAAATCTCTGCCTCCTTTCCACAAGTAAACTGCAGATTATAGAAACTGCCGAACCTCATTCCTCTCAAGCAAGGATTTGAATTCTGCTAATATAGACGACTTTCCAGATTTAATGAATATGCATTATTTATTACCAATCACTCATTAGTAAGAAATTCTCCGCTTCCTTTCCAGATTATAGTTTTGGAGAATGGTAAGGTGATTGAACAAGGACCCCATGAAGTTCTCTTATCAAATGCTGGAAGATATGCACAGCTGTGGGGCCAGCAAAATAACACCATTGATGCACTTGAGACAGCAGTTAAATTGGAAGCACAATAAAAGGGAAAATATTCAAGATCATCCAAGATAAGGAAATTTCACCCTCCAATAATTTATCTAGTTTTGCGTTGGTTTATAGGACCTTGATTTTTGTTATATGTACCATATTGTAATACCTTTATCATCATTACATCAATTTAAGAGTGTTTAATTTAAGAATCCATGTGCTTTGTAGATTGGATGTGAATATGATGTTTTTTAAATCCTAGTTTCTTTGCATAGAATTAGAATATATAAATGACATGGTATAATGTTCAAGGTGCTTTGCCCATTTTCCTTATTTCTTTCTTTATTTCTCGTTATTATTATTCTGGTGGTCTTGTAGGGTGACGTTTGGGAAATTTATTTTTGAGTTTAACACGTTGATTTGAGCTTTCAATATTTTGATTGATGATATGTTTTTTAATTGAGTTTTTAAGGGACCTACTTACGGGCAAGGAGTCTCTATGACCAGATGACTAGTATTGCTTCCTCGCTCAGTTAAATTGTGCTTAGATTGACTGCTCTTTAGAATTGACGGTACCATATTAAATTTAGTTTTACTGAATCGTATTTTCTTCTAAAAATAAAAAGGAAAAAATTTATTTTAATTTATTTGTTATTGAACAACTATTTAAGGTATTAGTAATTTTTAAATAAGGTAAGAGGTTTGAATTCTCTAATATGTTATTAACTTCTCCAATATGTCAAAAGAATCTTCACTTCTTTATTTGAATTGTAATATTTATAAAAAAAAATGACAAAAAAACTAAGATATGATTTAAGAAACAGTCAGCTAGACCATCAAGGAATAACTACACTGACTTCTCTCTATCCTCATTTTCTACCTCAAGGATTTTAATATATTTATTAACTTTGTATTTATTAATTTATTTTTACTTGGACCAACATTTTTATTTGTAATACTTATTTAAAAATTATATATATTTTTCTAACAATAAAATAAATTTTAGAAAAATGGAGGGGAGGGAAGGAAGATCTTTTAGTTTTAAAATTAAGAATATTGAAGAAGAATGAGTGAGACAAAAAGCGAAATAGAATAAAAATAATTTGTCAAGTATAATTTAATGAACGCTCACTTTAGCATGGAAGATATATGCTTTAATTAGTCAAATATATATATATATATATATTTTAATATAATTAATATCTTAGTACATGAACTATGTTAATTCAATGACAAAATATCATAGAGAGAAACCAAGGCACGTGACATTAGACACTAGCCGAAAGGGGGAAACCATGAACGGAGATACGGCCGAAAAGTTTCGGCCTAAAGAGCAAAGATTGTGAATATATTGGATCAGGTTCAGGCCCATTAGAAAATCAACCAAAAAGGAAAAATAATAAATAAATTCTAAAAAACTAAGATCTACTTTCAATCGGGATTGTGGGCTCCGATTCCGACGACCGGGGCGAGTCAGAGAGAATCGAGATTTCTAGAGAGAGAGAGAGAGAAGGAACCCAAGGCGAAAGGATTCCAGAACGAAGGCTCAACTAGTTCCCGTTTTCGTCTCTATTTCCTCGATCGATTATCTGATTTCTTGTTTCGCCACTTCCTTTGATTTCTTCTTTCTCTTCGTTGTCAATGTCAACTACACTGAGAAGGTAGCGTGCGGCGCTGGAATCGAAATTCTACATTTGATTATGCTTTTTTCTTCTGCGCCGGAGGTGGGATTTCTTCGTTTTTCAGGTATGGTTTCGTATTTCTAAGATTGGCCGGAAGGCTTTTGGAATAGTGGCAGAGATACGGAGATGGAATTCAGGAGGCAGCAGGGGGCGACAAGGCCTTCGGTCTTTGAAGAAGTAGCTCGGAATGCTCGGCGTTCTACTCCTCTTGTATCCAATGAAGACGACGATGTATATGATCTTAGCAGTGACAGTGGCAATGATGCTGTGGGAAGTTCTCGGTCCTCGTCCTCTCCAAAATCTCTTGCTGCCAAAGCCATAAGAGCTTCATCGGCGCATCGGGACTCTTCACTCTCCTCAGCTTATGCTGCGCGCTCTGCTTCCCGCGTCTCCAAGCCGACTTTCTCTTCTTCTTCTTCCTCCTCCTCTTCCGTTCAGGTTTGATTTCAATCTTTTTTACAATAACTCTCTCTGTGTTTATTTTTGGGAGCTTGCCCCGAGTACAAAGTGTTGTGCCTTACTCCTGTTAATTTGAGCATTTTAGAATCAGTTTTTGTTCTTGCCTTGTTCCTAAATTGAGTGTTCAATTAGGAACTCAACTTTGAATATGATTGATCGCTCTATTGGTGTTTCTGCATATTGGATTTGTAGCAATGTTTCCTTTTGACCAAATCTTTGAGGAAGGAATCATATATATAATTTATATAGGGCCGGGGTAACCATCCAGCCCGCAACAGACCTGCTGAATTGCCTCTATCCCCATTAAATGTTGCACTTTGTTTTTCCATCCTTGATTAGCATTTTGTCACTATTGTTTTGCTAAAGAAAGAAGAAAGAAATTACTTTGGTATTTTAAAATTTTCAAACAGCTTTTCGTTCACCTGTTTTATCATTGATAAAGCCTACTCAGTGTTCCACACTGCTTGTTCATTCTAAAATATATTCCTTTGCATATTATGTTACTATCTCGCTGACCTCTGTACTGGATACTTTGTCCTCTTGCATTTTTCTCGCTCCAAGAAGTTTTTTCTCTTTTCAGTTCTTTATCTAGTTTCTGGAGGGGTAAATTTTTTGCTCCTAGTTCCCTTAATTTTGAAGGACGTCTTTTGCATTGCCTTTCCTTATGGGTTCTGTCGTTCCATGTCATATATTCTGATATGAACCAACTGATGGAAAGAAATTTCAAGTGATCTAGTAATTCAAGGTAGAAAGAGAACATGAAGGGGTTTAATCTCTAGATATCTTGCATAATGCCCTCAATTTTCTTTAGATTTCTCTTTGAGTGAGGAGTATCATTGATGTAGTCTATTGCCGCGGCACCTTCTTACTTATCATTTTTTATTTTGCAGTCATCCTCCAATATTTGAATGGTTTCTCTAATTTCTATCTTTTTTAATGAAAAATTTATGGTGCATATTAATGTAGGATTCAAAGGCATATGAATATACATCAATGAAAAGTTTGAATGAATCCAAACATGGATTCTGGGGTGCGTTGGCCAGAAAGGCCAAAGCAATTCTTGACGATGATAATGTCGTCCAGCAACCTGAAGCACCTGGAACTGGAAGAATGAGGGAACAAGGACTTGGTTCAGGTACAGCTACGAGGGTCAAGGTAAGATTTTCTTAAACTGCATTTTAATATTGACTGAAGTAGCACAAGGGAGAATATTATCTATGAAAAGTTTGAGTAGGATGTTAATGTGTCTGCTCTTAATGAATGCCCAAGACTTTCGTGTGTTTGCAACTTGCAGTATCAAAACAACAGTCAGTCAGAAGACAGACAAGAAAAAACAGAAAATTCTTCCTTCCAGAAAGGATTGGGTGCAATTACATCTTCCCTTAACTATATTGGCAATGCTTTTGAGGTAAGCTTATCCGAAATTCTTAGGAGCCTATAAGTATCCCTTTTATCTTTCAGAAAATAGGGCTTCTCCATGCTTCTTTGTAGTTTGTGAAAGATATGCTATTAAAACATCTAGAGTCATGGTGAGTGATCTGAGACCATTTAATCTCCATTTTACATTATTCTCAAAGATGTTTCTTATCAACTTCCCAGGAAAGTCTTACGGCTGTGGAAAACAAAACTGTTGATATCATTCAAGAAACTCGGAAGCATATTAAGAAAAAATCTGGTGGTTCAGTGGCACAGTATCAGACATCGAATCCTGGGCCTACGATGCAATCTCAGACACAGCCTCAACCACAAACCCAAATGCAAACTGGCATTGAGCTTCAGCTGAAGGCATCTCGCGACGTAAGGTGGCAACTGTATATCACTAGTTCATGAAATTATATCATCGAACAGTTGCCTAAAACTTAGTTTACAATTTTACCTATGGCTTTAACACAATGATCCTATAAACCAGTTTGCTTAGACAGAATGATCTGGGGGTTGGATCTATGGCCTATATTTACTCTTGCGAGCCCTTTTAAAATCAGTTGGTTTCTTTTCCTTCTGTGTCTAACCCTGTTCATTTTTAGAAGATTTGGTGATCTAAGGTTCATATGAAGGTTCAAGTCTTTGCCTTTTATGGCTCATATTTACTGCTAATAATATGTTGCAGGCCTGTGCAGAGGTTTCAATCTAGGTGCTTGTTTGTCTCACAAGTTCTTTGACTGTATGGAGTGGATTTAAATTATTTATTGTTGTGTCCCCTTTTTGCAGAGTTCTTATGAAATAATTTGATTTGCATTTGGAGTTTGTCGTGTGTCAGGTCTTGTCATATTGATCATGGGGATTTATAGTGTTTGAGACGAAACAAAAGGATTAGAGCATGTTTTGAATGTTTGTATGTGCCTATTGTTCAGTGCATGTTGAATGGTAGAACCTTTAAAGGCGAAATGGAAGAGAAGACAAGTTTGTTTGGTTGAAGCCAACTCTAACTTCTTTGTATGTTTCTTATTGAAGAGTTTTGTAGATTCCTTTCTTTTTAATGTTACAGCATGCAGGATTGATTTTCATGTTGTAGGATGTAACTAATTTATCTGCTTTTCCTGACTCCATGAATTTCTTTTCTTCTATGAACATAAACATCTGCAGCTAGCCTGTTTTCTTGTTAGAATATCCTGCATCTCCGTTTGATATCTTGTCTCTTTTCCAATAAAGAAATGGACATATTTCTTTTGTTTGTCTCCACAGGTTGCCATGGCAATGGCTGCCAAAGCAAAGCTGCTTCTTCGGGAGTTGAAGACAGTCAAAGCAGATCTTGCTTTTGCCAAGGAGCGATGCGCTCAGCTGGAAGAGGAAAATAAGATTCTTCGGGAGAATCGCGAGAGGGGAAACAACCTAGAAGATGATGACTTGGTAACCACCTTTTCCCCCTCTTCTTTTCCTATGATCTTTCGAATCCATTTCAAGTCAGCATCTGTGATGTAAGATATATTTCTTCTGGAATATCAATTCTGCAAATAAATCCCATCCTCTCACTTGTACCTTTTAATTCACACGATCTTTGCTCTTGGACCTTTCTTTATCCATTACGTCAATCTTCCCAAGGTAGCAGTTACTGCAAGCTCAAATGATGTTATGCTCCGTTTTTCGCGCTTTTTTTCTTCTTTCCCCTATAATATGTCAAATGCGAGTTCTTTCAACAATTAGTAAATGATCCTTCTCTCGCTCGGGTGCATTACTAGGTTCATTTTAATAGTTGATTTCAGTCCTAACTCCAAAAGTTCTCGATTTCAGATACGTCTTCAACTTGAAACACTTCTGGCAGAGAAGGCTCGGCTGGCCCACGAAAATTCAGTCTATGCACGCGAGAATCGGTTTCTAAGGGAGATTGTTGAATACCACCAACTTACCATGCAGGATGTTATATACCTGGATGAGGGCACAGAAGAAGTCACTGAAGTTTACCCTATCAAGCTTCCTGCAGCATCCAATCTCAATGCTGCTTCCCCGCTACCACCTCAGCCGTTTTCGTCTTCAAATCGACCCGGGGTAGGACTTGACATGAGCTCACAAATGACTCAGATTGTTCCTACCTGCCCCTTGCCCCCATCAGATCTGAGGGGAATCTCCTAAAGCTTCACATAATGGAAAAGCTGTCTTACATTTTTAGTATACTTTGATTTAAATGATAAATTACTGTATCTTGTAGTTTTTTTACTTTTTTACTGTTTCTGCCGTTGTATCGTAACAATGTCACCTTTTTTTTTAATGTGGTGTTATTTTCTTTCTCGTTTTTTTGGCTATATATTGTAGGTCCTAGATTGCAGAGAAAAGTTTTAATTTCATTTTTTATTTATTTTATCAAATCTGTGTAGTATAAAGAAAAATGAAACAAGAAATAAATTTTTTTTTTTCCAAAATTTCTATACATTCTAAAAAATAGAAGCAAGAAACACAAGAAGATTCTCTTAGTAAATTTAGAAGTTAAAAGTAAGAAGGGGCTTTAAAAAGTCACTTTTTAAATGCAGAGAGATTGAAAGTGGTAAAGACAAAATTAAAATTTTTGAAAATATTCTTTTTTCTTTCCAAGCTAGAGAAGGCATATGTATGTGTATGTGTATAAAATTAATTTAAATAAAGGAGAAAAGGAAAAACTTTACCAATAAATGAATTAAAAAAAAAACATGAAAGCTCTCACTGAAATGGACTTGAACCTTCAAACTTCCAATTGATTTGTGGGACATAAGAACAACTCATAATATCTATATTTGGATAAACTTGAACAACTATAGAATGGTGAGGTGGCTTCCATTCAAAACCCCATCAAATTAACTAAACTACAAACCAATGAAATCCAAATTAAAGGGTAATAAATATTTGTTGAGTCAAAATCTAATTAACATACTGATCATAGATAATACGTACCATCTAATATATAGACTCTAACGTGGAGATTTGTGGGTAGAAATCTGTAGACACCTACACGTAGAACCGCGCACCAATGTGGTGTTCAGTCACAAACACTTGGAAGCTTAAAGTTAGAATTTAGTTCGAACTTGTGTTGAATTGAGTTAGTTTGAATGCAAAAGATTACTTTTTGAAAAGGTAAGACTCTAACAGGAACGTTAGGAAATGCAATTCTATAGCTGTTGTATCTATTACTGACAGCAGAATCGTCCTTCTGTCGAATGCCATTGAATTTTCCTCTAATTAGAATCTTTCCCAAGTCTAAGTTGAGCTCATAGAGCCTTTTCCTCATTTTTGGAGTGACTGAAGCAAGGCTCGGGCACAAGTGTCCTAATAAGGAAGAGCCATATGCTGCGGGTGATTTTTAATTGACTTACAAGTATTAAGTACATCAATTAAAATCCGTCATAGTCTTAAAATAGGTTAGAAAAGTCACATATTAGAAATTCAATAAAGAAAAAATAAAGAGGAATTCAAAAAGATCCAAAAAAATATAAAAAGGGAGTGAACAGTGGATGGCGGCTAAGTAATTGGGCAATTTGGGACCTTTAGTTTTGGAATTATTGAGGCATTCAGATCTGTTTGGTAAACAAAAACGGGACCCACCAAATCCACTCCTCTCATCCTTTGGCCTTTGCCTTTGGTGCATTCTCCATTATTATTAACTTAACCAACCCATTATTCCTTTTGAATATTCAATTTCTCAATCCTCACTACTTTTTTTCATCTCTCATGTTCAATAATTTAATTAAGACTTTATGGATTCTAAATATGAGTCGATTGGGGTGACTTTTAATCAAAGATTTTAATTGTGGGTGTGGATAGAAAAATCGATAAAATGAAAAGTAAAAATTTTATATTTCTAAATAAGTTAAAAATGATTAATATTAATATTACGTATATATTAGTGATATTTGTTGCTATTTTTCATATTTTATCGATTTTTTTGTAATACGATGGAAATGTCGATTTACCTCTCATGTGGATGTCGAAGCTATGGATATATGGAAATGTCGATGAAACATATCGACGTGTCGACGGATATTTAATATCATGCTTTGAATATAGTTCGACTAGCTAGTCAAACTAGTTAAGACATAATTTAAATTCTAGCGGATCAGGAAAAGTTAATATTCCTATTTTTTGATATTCTGATCAATTATAAAGAGTTGGTAAAAAAAAATTGTAATGGTTATGGGTGAAATTTGAGGAACGCGTTGGTGGCCGAGTCTAAAGGCCATATTTATATATATGTTATGTTAAATGATACAATCCAATTTATATTCTATCTATCTGAAGTTTGAGGAATTTTTTATTCAACATTTATGGAGCATTAACGAAGTGACTACTCTTCGATATTGATTTTAACAACTCAACATCCGAAGAGTAGGGACTAATGTTATGAGTGATATACCACCCGAGTCGAATACCAACCAAACTAGATTGGAATTGATCGAACTTGATCGAGCAGGTCCACTCGAACTGTCTCAAGGAGACTCTCTCTCTCTATAAATAAGATGAGAGACCTAAAGCATGAGGTAACTCTCACAACTCTATTCTTATTACTCTCAACGTAACCCTTTGCTAAGTTAGGTATTGAAATGTATTGGACTTAGCACCACATCAGTGAACAGTTTTCTTTATGTGCAGAGTTTGTCGGAGCTACAGGACGATGAAGGTCGACACTAAATTCCTACATCAACAACAATAACCTCCGATGTTTAAATCATCTCCCTTTTGTTTGAAAGTTCTCAAATACTTAAAATACGATTGTATTTGTATTTTTGTTAGAATTCAACAAAAAAATCAAATATCATTAGTTGGTATATTTAGACTAACTATTAAGAATTGGATATCATCCCATCACAAATGAAGGTGACATCAATATTTCTATTTGTAGTGTGTGATCGATGTTTGACACATTAAATATGATATGATTTAATACACCATCGTTTATTTCTTAGTGTTGACTAATAGCTTCCTCTATTCTTTTTCAGTCATCACTATTTGCCTCCTCTCTTCTTATCATCATAAATTCTTTTTTAAGGTTAATATATGTTAGGCTTTTTTTTTTTTTTAAAAAAAACCCATCGTGAATTTTTATAATGCATTAACTCTAAAAAAGTGCCTTGTCTATCTCATATTTAATAAATAATTAATATTTTTTTTGAAAAAAATTACAGCGTTTGTGAATTTGGAAAACTTTAGTTAGTTAAATATTAATTTAATATGGATTCTTTTGTTTTTTTTATTTTTTATTTTTTGCTGAAATGTACTTAATAGAATGTAGTTCCTTTTTTTTTTCTTGTTTCCTTTTAAATCAATTGTATGTAGTTCTGCAACCTTATAAATTCACATCCCAACTTAGAGAGAGAAAAATATTTTTTTGTTGACACGATAAATATAAAGTGTGTCAGACCTTGTAATCCCAAAAAAAAAAAAAAATTATTTATTTGTTGAACTAAAAGGTAATTGAAATCTACTCCGAAATTCAAATTTCTATATCCTTAATTTACAATATTATAAAAAAAATGACAAAGTAGAAAAAATATCAACAAAATATCTCTAATATAGACATAATATTAATATTAATAACTTTTAACAAAATATTTCAATCATTTCCACAAATATTCATCAACATCGATATTTCTCTAAAATTGAGACATAGACATTTCTCTTAATATTGACATTTAAAACCTTGTTGAAGCTATTGATATCACCAAATAATAATAATAATAATAATAATAATAATAATAATAAAAAATACTTGAAACTTACCTATTTTTTTTTTAATCAAAGAAACATTGCATTAAAAATAAATCGTACCACTAAGGGTTACATGAGAAAAGGAGGGACAATGCACCACAAATAGAAGCCATAAAGGACATGAAACCATAAATGACATAGAAACGATCATTACACTTGACCAATCAAATAGACTGCATGTTCAAAGAACTAGAAATATGAATAAATTTTAGCCCACCAAACTTTTTTTCCAAAGTCACAACATCCATAATCTCATTTAATGATTTTGGGGAGTTCTTCAATTAATTAAAGGATATTGTCAATTATGGCATCCCTAATTAGGATTTGGAGGGAAATAATTGCCTAAAGTTTTCTTATCCTCCACCATGACCGATAAGGAAGGATTAGGCAAATTCTCAAAATCAAAATCATCCTGAATAAGGAATCTCAAAACAATTAAGATTGATGCTGCACCTCCATCGTCGCCCACCTTCTAATCTGTCATCCTTGCCCTGGAATCATGTAAGTTCTTTGAACTAAAATGCAACGAAGATGAAGAGTCATCTCAAGAGATTACAGGCGATAACCCTCTCCAATTTTATGCATGGAAACCCTTCAAAATGTCTCGATGACGAAGCCATGGACCATACATAACGATGTTGCGCTATTGACATTCAATGGGAAGATCTCGACACCCTACCATCATCCGCCATCACAGGAACTAACAAGAAAGAAGGATCTCCCTAAAAACCGCAACCACAAGAACAATAGAAGTCCTCAAATTATCTCGATCTATGTTACTTACTAGAAAAAACTAAAACAAAATAGAAAGGAAACCCTATGAAAAAACTCAATCAGAGAACTAAAAGAAAACGCACGCTGTTTACAGAAAGGAAGAGAAGAGGAGGAGAGTAAGCCACCGACCACCCCTCCCCACTTTTTTCAACTCTCTTCTTAAAAAGCTCATTCTTGGGAGAGGAGAGAGAGAGAAAAAACAAGAGGTTGCACATAAATAAAGTTAGTTACTTGAAACTTACTTGTTTGAGGCTATATACAAATTTTCCTTGTTATCTTTCTCGAATTCTAGTAAATGAGAAAATTTACTCCACATGAATAAACTTGTAACCTACAATTCCTTTTTTTTTCTTTACAAAAACTTGTGATTTATAATTAATTTCAGCCACATCACAGATTTAACCTAATATGTGAATTTAATATATTTATCATTATAATTGGCGACGTGGTTGAATTTCAGTAGAAGACATTCCACGAAATCGGGAAACTTCTGTTCCCCCTACTGCCGCCTAGTAAATCACGTCTACCAAGAAATAGTCGAGGTCAAACTCCCCGAAATCCTCCTCGCCGCACTGCTTCCTCGCCGCCGGCAACCACGCCGCCGCCGCCATCTCCAATCCGAACCCATCGGCCTCTCCGCTGAACAACGCATCGAACGGGATCGAAACGCCATCGTAATGGAGGACTGACGTCGGCGACGAAACCGCCGTCGTGTTATGAGAGTCCAAGCCCTTCTGCTGCTTGCTACCGTCGTCAGCCGCCGTGGCGACTGCTCCGGCGTCGGAGAAGTTGGTCGTGGCGTTTGGGCCTTGGAGTTTCAGAGCAGCTCGGTCGTAAACCGCTGCCGCCTCTTCCGCCGAGTCGAAGGTCCCGAGCCATATCCGCTTCCGGCGAATCGGATCTCGGATTTCCGCCGCCCATCGGCCCCACGGTCTCTGCCGAACCCCGCGGAACTTTCTCCGGCGACAAAATTTGGACCGCCGGGATCTGGGTCTCTGCTTCTTACAAATTTCATTAACAGAGGACTCAGAAGAACCAGTAAGAACAGAGTATCGTTCGAAAATGATCTCTCTTGCTTGTCTCCTAACTGTCGTTCTTGATCCGATTATCACTTCATCTTCACTGGAAGAGTCCGTGGCGTCGGCGTCGGCGACGATGATCCTAACAAGCTTTTGCTGGAACTTCCTCTGTTCAGCCACAGAGGCACCGGAAATTGGTGGTTTACGGTGGCGGTTGGTTCTGTACTCCGGCAAGGAAGCCATGTCTCTCACAGATATGTTAGATCTGAGAGAAACAGTCACACTCTAACACGAAGAGAGGTTAAATTAGATCAGTCTGTAAAATCAGCAAAACAGAGAAGAAGAAGAAAGATCACACGACAGCACAACATCAGAGCCGAGGTTCAATTCAGAAAAGGCACAGACGAGGTTCAATTCAGAAACGAAAGTGAAGAGAAGAAGATGCAGAGAAAAGGCAAAGACCAGAGAGAGAAAGGGGGAACAAAAAAGGCAGAGAAGACTAGAAAATGGAAGGTGAAGACTTCCAGTAGAAAAACCCAAGTCCAAGCAAGAAGATTGAAGCCGGATATATAGGAGATAGTGCACAGAATGTTCAAATTATGTTTGGTTTATTCAGTGGGAGTTCCTCCAAAGGGAATTGGCCACGTTGTTATGAACCTGTAGACCCGCAAGACAAGTTTAGAAATTTACTTCAAAGGGAACAAGACAGGATATTTTGGCTTCTCCCATTGGGGTCTAAGAGTCACAGGTGTGTGGATGTGAAGGTGGACTCCTATTGACTGAGATCTCTTCTACTTGTAAAAGTCAGAGTTTTTGTGCTCTAAAATGGATCTAGATGCTTCTTATATGCTACAAAATGAAATGATTTTCATATTCTGAAGTTATAATTGTGATTTGTGAAGAATTAAAGAGAAGAATGATACATGTAAAATAGATTCATTATGACAACTAATACTGGTGACCGAAGCCTCTGTCAATAGCAATTGTCACATCTTGATATTTGACGTTTTTCAGAAATAATGGACACATTGATATTAAATGATTCATTACCCCATATTGCCTGTCTCTCAAGCATAAGCCTCTTAATATGTGCATATTTTAAAGGTTTAAACTTTGAAAAGTAGGATTATAAGGTTACAGTCTTGTCATCCTGCTAAAAAAATATCTTCTATATTCTAAGATCTGTTCTAAACATTTGTTTTATCCATACTTCTAATATCAACTATTCCTAGTGGTGTGGTTTATAATATCTGCAAAACATAAACATTAGGCTCAAGGTGTAACTTGCAATAATCATACTTCACATGGGTCAGAGTTACTGCAATTACATAACGTAATAGCATCAATTTCTCAATTTGACCTTGATATGCAAAAATTGTAGAAAGGGAATATGCACCGAATAAATTATTTCTTGATGCCAAGAGAACAATATGATTTTTCAAAAAAACTATTTGAAATACTAAATAAAGTCTCATTGGTACGAGTAAAAATCACAATCTACCAATTTTACCACGTACAAACTACTAACTAGCCTACTGCAACCAAAAACCAACATTCAGTACAGACATTCTAAGTCAAGAGTATTATGTATGTCATTACCAGTAACGGATCATTCACAGGCTCCTTTGGCACCATCTTCCCTGCCATTTCTTCACTAGAAGTAGAAGCTCCTGAATCTTATTTACCATTTACTTAACAGGACAGAAATAAGCAGAGCTTACCACCAACTCATAAGTCATAACAAAAGTTTAACGGAGGATATTAACAGTGTAATAGTATGCAAATCATAAAAGCCCATAAAACATTTTGTTGATTAAAAATAGAGAATCAATCATTTGACAATATGGAGTAATATAAGTTCCAGATCTACCATTTTATAATTTCTTCAAATCGGTATTCACAATGGAAGTCAAATTCCTTACTAAATTTTAAGTCTTAGGAATACAGAGGCTTTCAATTTCACTTCATGAAATGAGATTCAAGGACAGCTTCTATCTTCAAGAGCTGAAATGAGAAGGCTGTTGGCCACTATCCCATAGCATACTTTTGAGTCCAGCTGCGTGCAGTAGCTTCATACTTGGCTCTATCAGCCTTATACATGTGAGCAATTTCAGGAACAAGAGGATCATCGGGGTTGGGATCGGTTAATAGAGAGCATATGGACAACAGCACCTGCAAATACATTTAGTTCGTATTAAAGTTCTACTATAAATTAAATTCTAACATCAATTTGATTGCTAAAAATAGATAAATTACAAAAGACAGAGTAATAGCACACCACAGCTGGACTTCTTCAGTGAATTACAGATTACAACTGCCAAAAGTTTAAAGGTTAGACCAAGTAATAAAATTCCATAGGTAGGAATGTAACAACCACTTGAGAACCAACACACAGTGGCGTCTTAGACACCAGTTCCACATACAAGGGAGGTACCAAAGAACCATAAACTAAATTATCAGTCTTATACTAAGCTTTCCCCAAAAATTCTAGTCAACAGTTCAAGTCCTTTGATGATAAATCATTCAAACACAGTTTCTGAAATTATGCAACAATTTAGGAGAGATTTGAAATTTTGAACTAGAATTAAGAGAACCAGATGCCGCCAAATAATCCTCACCTCCACTGCTTATGGGATATCCTGACAAAAATATCCAAGAAAATCTAAACTTCACAAAGGCCAAATAATTCAAGACAATTTGAAACAACAAACTTCTTATTTCTATGTTGTGCAGAAACCCATAAACGGGAATATCAATTTCAAGGCCATTCAATCTAACTTCACAGTTTCAGGACAGAAAACAAATAAGTAAATCTGGACAGATTGATAAAAACAAACTACAGGAGCACTCATTGTACCCTAATTTGACAAGGAGAATACACTACTCTATTCCGCTTGAACAAACAGCCAAATTCAACAAAACACAGAACATTCGCAAGCACTACTAATCAAAGTTAGAAACTAGTTCAATGTGTTAAGTTCCGTGAGACTGTAAATTACGACTAACCTTAGAAATAGTTAGCGCAGGGCTCCACTGCTCTTTAAGAATGTCAAGACATATGCTTCCGTTGCTATTAATGTTCGGGTGGAATACCTTAGTCCTAAAAGCAACCTGCAAGGTTTCAAAAGTTCAGCCTTTCGGAACCATACACCGTTCTACGACATTGCAGTATTAAACTAACAATGTCAACAGCATCAAACTCCGTGAAAACTCTCACTGAAACAATCTTAATATATAGAATAGTAGGAACAATCGGGTGTCAAAAACACAATGTCATCCATCTAATTTTAGTAAGCACGGAAGTCAATTCTTGGGTCATACCAAACATAAGAAGTATTAATAACAACGGAAACATAAAAAGCAGACAACATTTCACCTTTGGGGGCTTGAAAGGATAGTCCGGAGGAAAATGGATTGAAACTAAGAATACACCTCCTGAATATGGAGAGTCAGAAGGTCCCATGATAGTTGCTTGCCAATGAAACATGTCTTCAGCCACAGGACCTAATCAAAATAGTATAAAAACACGAACCAATATGAACTTCGAGGTATTTTTTCCCCGTGAATAAAATTAAATTGGAGAACACTTGAAAATGAATAAACAACGGGCAAGTTGCAAGCCAACCACAAAAGAAATAATGTCATTGAGGAGGAAATAAATAATTAATTACGGGTTGAAAAGGGGGCAGACCATGCTTGACAACCTCAAAATAGAAAAGAACCAAAAATAGGTTGTCACATTAGAAACAAACATTCGACTGCTCCATAATGTACAATAAAGATCGTAGATTCAGAGCAAAAACAAGAACACACCACGTGAGCTGAGAGTGCCGCAATAAAATATAGAAGGGAAATGGGGGATGATTACGTACCAGCGCTGCAAGACGTAGGAGGGTCCTTCTGTAAATCCTTCAGCTCTTTGAGAATACGTTTCGAAGCCATTAATTCCTCGAGTTAGAAATGGGCAATCTGACACCCCAGACACAAAATAGACCAAAAATTTCAATCAGCAGAATAAAATTTAGATCAAACAGACAATAAAAAAGCTAATTAATACTAAAAAAGAACAAATAAAGAGAGATATAGCTCGGAGGAAATTCGCGGACCTTTGAGATTAGCTGCAGAAAGAGAGAGGGAGAGAAAAATACCTTAGAGATCGATCGAGGAGGAAGGGTTTCACACTTCGGGAGAAGGAAAAATGGGAAGAAGCTACGGCGAAGAATCTTCGCAGGGGATTAAATAATAAGGAGACAGAGATTAGATGCTTCTAGAAACTTTTCCATTGTCTTTTTTTTTTCTTTTTCTTTTTTTCCGTAATTGGTAACATTGTAAGAAAGATTGCCAATATTTTTTTTTTAATACAACAATTTAGAAATATTGGAGATCTAATCTCTTAGTAAAATTGTTATATTTAAGTTGGCATTACTAATTTATTGTTTCATCATATTAAAAAATAAATTGAATTACAAATTTCATTTTCATTTTGTAACTCTTGAATTATTTTACCAATGTATTATGGGCCATATTAATTTATCCTTTTATAGTAAGATAAAAAAAAGTTAAATTACAAAAAATGCCATAAACTTTGTATTTTGTTTAAAAAAATACCCCTATCTATCGTTTCAAAGGTTTCAATCATTTCTTTGACATTTCATAAACGTTTTAAAAATATTTTGAATGAAAAAATTTGACATGACAAAATGTATAAGGAAGTGACAATTAACGTAAAAGTTTGTTCAAATTGTCTACCTAATTTTGTTTTAAAGTCTTATTGTCTACCCAAATTGTTGCTTTTTGATTGTCTACCCAAATTTGTCTTACTCTCCCTTTTCAAAACAATAACTTCTTTCACATTTCTTATTTTCAAATGACTTAATTAAGACGTCGTTTTAGATTGTATTACGTCAACCTTCCAATAAAAATATTAATAGATATTTGTTCAAAAAATATTTTTGAAACATTTATGAAATGTGGAGGATATTATTGAAGTTTTGAAAGGATGAAAGTATTTGTTAAACAAATAGCAAAGTTAATTTTTGTGATTAACCTTTGAAAATTTAAAATTGTATACTATTTCAATAAAATATATTAAAAAAATAGATGTAATTTTTGTTTGTATATACAAACACTCTAACCATGGGTTATCTTCGTATTAGATAAAAAATATATGTAACTGAATATACATAAATTAGCGTAATATATAGAAATCAACATTACGCCTTATTTTATACATGATACATCTAAATTCACTTTAGCACAATTCAACAATATGAAATAAGAATAATCATTTCTATAAATTAAAAGTACAAATCTACACCCCCACAAAAATAATGTTATATTATAAAATGAAATAAGAAATTCAACTCTATTTGAACTCTCTTACCAACGTTAAAAAATAAAATATGAAACTATTATTATTACTTTTTTTTTAGTTCATAATATGAATTTATACATCGTCTTAGATCAAGAATATTATATAAAAGTTTAAATATTTTTAAATTTTCTTTCTAATTTTACACTCTGTACCATCAAGATAGTTTAGGGAGAAGCCTTAAAGATAAATAGAAAAAAAAAATGTAATTCATTGAAAGCAAAGCGCAGGTTTGATTGGTCCACATCCAAATCCTAAAGAAATTTAAGAATGAGATACACTCTACAAAATACGAACTCACACATGCCAAAGGTCTGGAGGTAATGTTTGAAAACATTATTATGCATTTACTTAGAGAAAATGATTGATCTTACCTCCTAATTTGGACAAATTCTTCCTCAAATAATGAAACTAAACACAATCTAAATGAAAGAATTCATGGGGTCTGCACATTTGAGTCCTTGGATTTGTTCTCTTCAGAAGACGGCCGGTTCTCCGAGTCAGATTGCCGGATTTCTTCGATCAGTCTAACTACGTCGTCCATGTTCGGTCTCATGTCGGGCACCTTCGCGACACAAGTCATTGCTATTTGCAACATCTGCACCATCTCTTCTTCAATATTCTGATACCTCATTAGCTCGACATCAAACACCTCAGCTGTCCATTCCTCCCTCACTACCGATTGGACCCACCGAGGTAGGTCGACCATTTCATCACGACCTGGGGATTGGAGGGGAGCTTTTCCAGTTAACATTTCGAGGAGAAGAACACCGAAGCTGTAAACATCTGACTTGTGCGTGTGTTTACGAGCTTCAATCACCTCGGGCGCACGATAACCTGCAGTTCGAGAAGACGGGACATTCATAAGAGGGGTGAGGCCAAAGTCAGAGACACAAGCATTGACATCTTGATTTAGGAGGACATTTGAGGCCTTGATATTTCCATGGGTGAATTTTGGACCACCCACTGTATGAATATGAGCAATTCCCTTTGCAGTTCCAAGACAGATTTTCACTCTTGTGTCCCAGTCAAGTGGAGTTCTTTCCCCTCCTCTGTTTCCTGCAGCAAAATATATAAGCTAAAATCAGATATATGAACCTGGTTTATGTCACTCCATAGGTTCGCAAATGGCGGTTAATACTCAACATCGATTATCCCGACTTCGTTACAAGGATTACACAAAACAAAATTTAATTCTAATACACTTATAGGAAGCCAAAGACCCTAAGAAGACGAATTGGGTTCTTTCCTAAGAGCTTGTAAAAAGGCCTCCATTGAAAATGAAAACTCGCGGTTGTGGACAGACTTGGAAAACCAGTTCCTACAACTATTTCCACCCGTAGAGTGTTCGTTTCTCTCCGTGGAAAAAACATGGGGAATTCCTAAACCACATGTTTTCGACATCTGCTAGCAATGTTGCACATTAACACGATTGCCTTTCTAGGGAACTATGAGAGAATGACTTGTCAATTACCATTATGTTCACTCAACTATGCAAAGAAAAGCCAAAATTCTACGGGTTAACAGTACTTTAGCAACCATTTGGGAGCTTAGGATGGAAAGAAAAGAAGGATCCTTAAAATGGAGGAGATAGTTTTTTAGATTTCTTAGAACATTATTGTGTTAAACCCATCTAATTGGAGCCTTTTGCCAGAAATCTTCTTTAGTTACTCTTGTTCTTTAATTAAGACCAGTTGTAGAGTTTTATCATGATCTCCTAGGTCTTTCGTGAATCAAAGTTCTGTTTACTACATACTATTAATAAATACAGTATCATTCCATATCAGCATACTTGGTTGTGTAGGACATTGACTTCTCATTTTGCCAGACACCGCCCTTCACTGGTAAATCAAAAGGAAAGTTTCATGAATTGTACTTATATAAACGCTTTGAGGCCGTAGAACAAAATTATGGTAGTGAGAGAGATAGATTATTGTAGTTGAGAATAAAGAACATATACCGTGCAGGAGCGATGACAAGCTGCCTCCTGGGACATAATCATAAACAAGAAGCTTTTCATCCTTCGAGTAATAATAAGCTCGGAGTGGCATGACGTTCGGGTGCTGCCCGACCTCCCCCACCATCTCCATCTGCTGTTCAAACTCCCTCTTCCCCACCACCACTTCCTTCAATCTTTTCACCACAACAGTGGTCGGTTCCTCCAGGACAGCTTTATACGCCGTTCCATAGCTACCCTTTCCAAGCACTTCAGCTGAGGCCCTTAATAGGTCTTCAAGATCAAAATTATATGAACATCCTTCAAAAAACACCAGCTTGTTTTTCTCAGGCTCCTGCACACCACTTCCAAACTCCTCTTTAGGTTTTTCGCTTCTCCCACCACCAGAAACCTTCCCTTTTCTCGTGCCGGTGCCTCCACTGTCCTTCTCCTTTAAGCAGCAGAGAATCACAAAAAGAACTACAAGAAACAGAAGGAAAAATCCACCAACTGCGATGGCAATGATAACTCCCATCTTCAGTTTCTTGGAGCTCTGCTTTTGAGAAATAGCAGGGGCAGGTGGAGCATCAGGAGCTGGAGATAGGACTAAGGAACAAGGTTTAAGAGGCAGTCCACATAATAGAGAATTTCCAATGAAGGATGAATTTGGGAACGTTTTAAGAAAAGTTGGGATAGAACCATTAAGATCGTTATAACTTATATTGAAATGCTTGAGCTTAGGGAGGTTGATATTTGGTATAGGACCAGAAAGATTGTTGTTCTGGAGATTCAGTCCAGTTAGTTGTGTCAAATTTTGAATAGTCTTTGGAATATTTCCTTCTAGTGAATTGAATGATAGATCCAATACATTAAGAGTGGGAGAAAAGGAGGTAGGAACGTCACCGGATAAGTTATTACGTTGAAGAAAGAGATATTGGAGAGAAGGAAGCGAGGTAATATCGGAAGGGATTTTTCCGCTAAGGAGGTTGGAGCGGAGGCTAAGAACCTTGAGGCCATCAAGTTTCCCTAGAGTTTTAGGAGGGATCGAACCTACAAGTCCAATCCCTGGTAGTCGAAGGGTAAGCACATGAGTTCCATCTGCACTGCAAGTAATGCCAACCCAAGATGTACATATGGGTGTAGTATCGTTCCAGTTGAGACTCCGACGATGTGGAACAGAAGATGCAAAGTCAAGAAGAGCTTGCTTATCGGATTTCAGGTCAGCAATGGCAAGGTGAAGTAGATTAATAGTGACAAAAAGCAGAAGAACCACTGGTGCTGAACAGAACTTCATTTGGAACAATTACTTAACACAGGATGCTTGAAGAGAGTAACTTCAAAAGTGACAACAAAGATCAGTTCTGGCCCTGCTATTTACCTGCCACAAATTTTGAAAGGAGAAGTGATGCTGATGTAGCCAACTTTAGCAATGGTAACATCTTAAATTTTGTGTTTGAAGATCATTCAAATGTAGCCAACTTTAGCAACATTCATAAGACAACAATAAAGAGAACATTTCTAATAAAAAATTGTGCCACATTATGTGCAAATAAGATGGAAATTCAGCAACATAGCTCAACTTGTACTTCATTAATTAAAGGAACAAGGGCTTAAGCAGAACCATGGCAATCTTCTCCAATTAATCTATGGAAGGGGATTCAAGACTTTGCTCCGGAAGTATCTCGACTGCTAAGAAACTATAAGGGTGAGTTTGGTATGACTTTTACAATGGTCAAAAGTGTTTTTAACCCATTAAAAATACTCTCTAAAATTTCTATACTTTCCATATCCATAAAAATAATATTGAAAAAAAAGATATACAACACCTTAAAGCATTTTTTTCAATTAGTGCCTTTAGAAAAACTGTTTTGCTTAGAAACACTATCTTCGAAAAGTTATCTCAAACTCATTACTCACTGTAAATCAATAATATCATGCATTTAAAAAACACTACTCTCAAAATTCATCCCAAATTTACTCTCAGTCAACAATATCCTACACTAATAAGTCTCAGAATTCAACCTCGAAGTCTTCCCTAGAGTCTTTCCCTCTACAAGGTTTACTAAAAATGGATGCAAAATTAATAGCATGAGATGAAATAACTAATCCCTCAGAGGAACAATGACTGTGCAAACTGAGCGACCAAGAAGAAGAAGAAGAAAAAGATGCTGAAGAATACAGAAGTTCCATCTCCAAAACAAATCTCATGAATGTAACCTGAAAATTTGCTCCAAGTGCAATGCAAGCTCGTAAATGTACAATTCCAACTAAACATTAGCCGAAATGAAAACATATTTCCAACCAGAAACACAGATCTATCATCCAAGTAGCACCCAGATGGCACTGCAATCTAAAAGCCCAGTAAAAAAAGGTAAAACATGGAAGATTACAACATAACCAAATAGAAGTGAAGTTAAGAACCTGAAGAAGAAAAAGAAGAAAGTGGCACCAGTGGAATGGGTGCAAAGAAGCTCAATAGAAGCCATGCCACCAGAAGCTGAACCGGACAGCATTTTCAGTAAAATGTGGCTCTGAAGCTTCACATCCAGCTGGAATGAAGGGATCTGAGAAACGACAAGGTTTTGAGCTAAAAGGTGAGTGACCAGGTAACCAAGAGTGAGAGGCGAAGCTTTTGAAGCAGACCCAGTTCGATTTTTTTGGGGAAAAAAGGATTTCCAAGAATGCAAAGGCCAAAAAGTAAGCGATAATAAAAATGGGTTTGGAAAAGAAAGAGGGAATAAAGGATTAGAAAAGTGAGAGCACTCACAGTCACCGCTCTCTGCTTGATTAGGCTACTTTTTTGAAGGAGATAGAGGAATTTGTGTCTGTGTTCAAAAGAAAAGTGAGAAAATGGAAGAAACCCACTGTAATTCTATGGTGGTACTATTAATTGCATTTGCAGGCAAGCCCATTTTAGAGTATAAAGTTGATCTTTCATTCATTTCTTCATTCAATTAAGAAGTCATTGATGTCCTCATGCTCTGGTCTACAGATACTATTAATTATAGTTTTACCATAAATGCCCACCGCTCCTCCATCACCATTTTCAGCTTTACTTTAACACCAATGAAAATTTCCAAGAACATAGATCAATGAGTTATTGAGTTAAATGATACAGGGAGTTCGAATTATCATTCCATGTGTTATTTGTACTTAAAAACAAACAAATAACAAATTCTCAATGAAATTTATATTTTAAAAAAAGCTTAATTTTATTTATAAAAATGTTATATGTCGTTAAATTAATAGCTTAATAATATATTTAGACATGTGACTATGTTTTTTTTACTATGTTGCTTAATTAATATATATATATTAATTAGATTTCGTGTATCAAGTTACAACTAAGTGATATATTCATATAGGTCGAAATGCAATGATAAAATAAAAATAAAATATGCTATTTTAGAATATATCATTTTGTTATCGGTAGTATTGTGAGGTTATAAAGTTTTTTACTTGTCAACGTGAGCATAATTTTTAAAGCATCTTGCTATTTTTTAAGACTTGAATATTAAATCTCTCTCTATCTTTTATTATACAAAAAAAAAAATTAAAAAAATTAACACTTTTTAGTTTTTATTCAATTTATTCATTTTTTGTGTTTCGAGATAATCATTCTTAATATATAATTAAAATAAAAAAGCATATACATAACTCAACTGGTTAAGTTACCTATTCTCGATTAAAAAATTGTAAGTTCAAATCTTCAGTTTTATATATTATATTATACTTAAAAAAATATGGAGAAACCGTATCAACCCTAAATTACAAGATTCATTTTGTATTTTTTTTTTATTCACGAGGAATGGTAAAACATGTCCCCTAAAAAAAGACCTAATGTTTTGCCTTTTATATTTTTTTATAGTTTTAGCTATATATATTTTTTCTATTGGATTATATTATACATGCGAATTATGTTCTATAAAAAAAGTATTAAATAGAGTACCATACAAACAATTGACCTTTTTTCCTTTTTTTTTAATAGCTTGAGAGCATGTGAGAGTAATTAAACATTTTTTTATCAATAATATATGCTTTTAAGTTAAATTATGTTTAATTGAGAATGATTGAAAATTTTAAAGGATAATAATTTTTATTTTTTGTATGAGATACATCATCTCCTACATTCATCTATTTCTCCCATTTTTAGAGACACAAAAAAGTGCCCCTAACCCTTGTTAGTTTATTTATTTTTAAAAGTTACACTTTGATTTATATCTTTATTATTTTTAAATTTTTTTCAAATCTCTTAAAAACACATTTGAATTTTTCAAAAATAAAAAATTACTTAAAATTTGTTTTTTTTCAAAATTTGGATTAGATTTTGAAAACCTTTTTAAAAAGTATATAAATAAACGTATAGGTGAAATTAGTATTTTTAAGCTTGATTTTCAAAAAAAAAAAAAGTTATCCGAACACAAATGAATTACCATTTTTTATTTATTTTCCGGTTTAAATTAAGTTTTGTAAATTCAAATTGAATTTTCTGTTTTATTTTGATAAACTAAGCTTATTACTATTTAAGTTAGTTTTTAAAACATTGTAGTCAAGTAAAAATAAGTTACAACCTGCTGTTTTTTAAATATGATTTTAAAAATATTTTTAGAAAGTACATTCAATAATAAATAAGTTTAATTTTTGAAAATGGATGGAGAGAAGAGAAGGAAAAAGTGAGACAGAACAATTAGCCTTTTTTTTTTCCCCTCGGGAAGCAATATCTAGCATAGAAGAAATTATTCGAATAATTTAGTATGAGAGAAAATTCAAAATTTTCTTTCTTTCTTTCTTTTCTATGAGAGAATTTAAAATTTTGCATCGAATTATTATTAGAATTTAGAACACGCATTAAAATTTAAAAGGCATAAATTAAACTTCTGTTCTCTTCCGACAACTGATCATGGGTGAAAAGTTAGCGACAAATGCAACCCAACGCTTTAATAATTAATAATTTAATGGCAAACCTTGGATCCAGGGATTTCTATTGTAAAAATAGCCCATCAATTATTAAATAAATATTTATGACTTCTGACTTCAAAATTATAAAATTGCAAATATACACACTAACACTATCTTGTCTAAATTTCAACCACATATTAAACGCCCAAAATAAGAAATTTAAACCTATAAAATTGTTTTCTTTTTAGCAGAAACCCAAAAAATAATAATAATAATAATTGTTGGAGGTCTTAGAACTTACTAAATAATATAATAATGAGGAATATTATAATAATATTCTGACTCACGATGAGATAGAAGTCTATCATTGCAATAGAGACAATGTAGAATAAGTGAAATACTCTGTATTTAACCAGCTCAAGCATCTGACAGAAGATTCCATCAGACAAGTGCTAAGTTATGTAAGAGGTTAGAAATCAATCAATCACAAAGTAGCAGTTCAAGTGTAGAATCAGAAAGACCAGACCAATTGATTAGCTGAAGAAAACAAACGAATAGAGAAGAGGAGTAGATACATCTAAACCCACCAAACTATAAGTTGAATACATATGCAGTGCCGGTTTTGGAACGATCATCCATGATGAGAACGAAGTGGCTGTTGAAAACTTTACGCAATTCAAAGGTTTGATCGAGCTTACAAAGACAATGATAATAGACGATATCCAAAAAATATGTAGGAATAAGGTCATCGAAGGAATCTGTTTCATAGGATGTAAGCAAATGAAGTCGCAAACACTTTAGTAATTCATATCGAGAGACAACAACTTTCAATTTGAAAGAGTCACGTAGCTTGATCTCTGAGAGAAAATATATTTTCCTTTGTTTCTCGGCTTTTGTCATGTACTCAAAATATATATAAGCTTAAAGGTTGTACTTATATTTCCTTGTCTCTCAAAAGGCATTAAAAAACCGACAAATGTATAAATTAGAATTGGGATATCTCAATCAATCTCGAATTTGACAGCACTGAATGGTCCATCCCTCCATCCTTGCAAGTTCACAGCTCACGACGTCAAACTTTCCACAAAGTCTAGGTTAAAAATTCGATCCTCATATATTTTCTGTGTCATTTTCCAGGAAAATAAATCGTACCGCGTACATCACAATTTTAGCCCTAAACTGCAAAAGATGTGAATCGATCCGATCCAACCACTCCACAGTGCATCCCTCGTTTTCGTTACTCATATCAAAATTTGGAGCAAAAATGTCAAACTAGAATGATTATGGCTTTCGTTTCCACGGCTCGAAATTAATGAATTGTGGTTTTCATTTTTGGAAGCAGAGCCTCAGCCTCAATTCTTGATTTTTCTTCTAAAAATCTGAAAATCTTTACCAAGTGAAGATCAAGTTGAGAGTTACACTAAATTTAATATTCTCAACAGCAAATTTTAAGGAAAAGAGGGAGTTTTATGTTTGACCAGAATTAAGCAGAGCTAAGAAAAAAGCAATTGGGGCCAAGAGTAGAAAAGAAGCAACAAGAGAAGAGACCCAATTGACCAAGTGAAGTTCAAATTTCAAATCAGTTCGAAGAAAGCATACTATGGAGAGGCAAAAAGGCAATGATTTGGCATAAATCACACCCACCATATTATGACAAGTTTGAGAGAGAGGTGTCCATAATGCCAAAAAATAGCTTTGCTCTACCTTTTGGCAGGACGCTTCAATTTCAAAATAAAGCCTAAAGTTGCTTCAGACAACCAAATTTGAAAGACTAAAGTTCCTACAATTTCACTTCTCTTAAATGGCCTCTCAAGCTGTATGAATACACTCGTAATGTTTGACAAAACATTCTTCACATTAATAATTTTGGAACCATTTCTTTGTTTTAGATGGTCAGGCGGGTTATCTAAGTGTACGTGTATAAGATTACTCTAATCATTGTATTCTCCCTCTCGAAATAGATTTCGATTTCCAATTTGTAAAATTTCAGCACAAATTTTTTCCACATCCAAGACTTTTTAACACAAATTTGTGATCCAAAATAATGAGATAGAAATGAAAAAACAAAAGTAATCAAATTTTTTAAAATATAGAGACCAAAAGAGACACCGTAAAATAGAGGAACTAAAATGATCCAACATTAAAAATTTAATAACCAAAATGAACCTTTTGAAAGTACAGTAACCAAAATAAAGAATAAATTAATAAACTTATACATGTCAATCTTTGCCTAATCCATAAAATTTAGGTACGAAAGATAAATTCCCGACGTTCATACCCCAAACACTCTCTTAAGTCTCAACTTGAACACAAGAATGTTTATGCAATCAGTTCATTGTGCAACCATTTAACCTCCAGAAGAAGCCTTCTCACTACACTACACTCAATTTCGATTATATGCCAAATGCAACAACCTAGTTAATTAGAAAGTCAACTAAACATTATCCTTTAGACAAAACCACCAATAAAAAAGAGAATCAACTAAAATAAATACCAGTTTACACAGCGTGCACAACCGCCACCGCCTTCTCTAGTGATGGGAATAGACAACAATATATAAAGCATTAGGCATTACCTATTGCTCCATGGCCTCAAATAAATTGAGAATGTTCTATTGGCTGAGTAGTTTAGTTAGAACATCTTTTCAATGCTCGGATAGATAAACAACACAAGTTCGAGCAATAGTTTTGGACACCAGCATTCTAAATGATGCGAAAATATAGAATTCATGGCAAGGAGAAAACAGAGTGATACACAAGGAAAATACCGACCTACAGCTCTACCCGATGGACGAATAAAATTGATCTTAGCAGTTGTAACCCATGTCTCCGGGTGAGGGAAAGAAACCTATAATTATGATCATATCGACAGTGCAATACTGAGATTTCGCTTCCACCTCTGGAAATCATTTGTAGAACTCGAAGTCCGTGTCGGGCTTCTTCACGTTGGTTCTATAGCCCTTCTCGAAATCCTTGGGGAGTATCACATATCTGTTCTTACGAACCGCATGCATCCCAGCTTCTTGACAGA